CGTGTCTGTGTGCACGCATGTGCGCGTGCATGTGCATGTGCGTGTGCGTGTGTGTGTGTGTGTGTGTGTGTGTGTGTGTGTGCCCATGCAGTTGCTGAAGGAGGCAAGAAGAGGGCTTCGGAGCTCCTGGAGCTGGAGTTACAAGAGGCTGTGAGCCTCCTGACATGGGTACTGGAATCTGAACTTGGGTCCTCTGCAAGAGTAGTATGTGCTCTTAATCACCTAGCCATCTCTCCAGCTCATGGGCACCTTATTCTCATTATGTGGCATAATCCAAAAACTGGAAGCTAGCTGTTGCATATAAGCTCCTTGAGAAACAAGGATCATGTCTGGTTTCCATCCAATTCCCAGTCCTGGCTAGAACATCGTAGAAGCTCAGAGAATCTGGAATGTAGGAAGGGAGGGAAGAGAGAAGGGGGATAAGAGGTCAGGCAGTCCTTCATCCCCATGGCACTAGCCCCATCCAGGATGTTCCTCCTCAAGTCCCACACTCACCTCCAGGCCTGGACTGTGTACAAGGGCAAGCACTTCGAGGGCACTGACAAGGAGGACCCTTCCACCTGGAAGACCCGGCTCCGCTGTGCCCTCAACAAGAGCATGGACTTCTGCGAGGTGCGAGAGCGCAGCCAACTGGACATCTCCAACCCCTACAAGGTATCGGATTGTATCTGATGGGGCCCAAGGGCCCAGGTACCCACTGCCCTGCCCTTGAACTCATAGTGGGTAAATTTAGGACCCTTAAACCACCCAGTGAAGACTATTTGAAAAGGGGAAACTGGACCTTGTCTGAGGGCAGGCAGTGGGCTGTGGTACTCTGTCTGCTGTCACCTCAGTCTTGGGGCTCCTCTTGGGACCCAGAGAACAGCTGGTTGTTCTTGCTCCATGCAGTTACCAGGCCCCAAGCTCTCCCTAAAGAGAAGGGTATTACCCAAGAGGCCCCCAGGGAAGTGAATCAGCCAGCCTGTAAGACAGACTAGGTCAGTGTGTCTCTCCAGTCCCAGGAGCATGGGCAGCTCAGGTACCTTTCAGCCAAGCCAGCCAGTAGCCCACCCTCCCCAGCAATTACCTCATCCGCTCCCATCAGCCCCATCCCCATCCTCCTATTGGCTCTGCCTCATGTGGCCCCTCCTCCAAGTTCCTCCATCAGCCCTGCTCCCTCTCTGTCCTCATTGCCTGCCTCACCTTCAGGTCCATCACTCAGGTCCATGCCTCAATCCTATTCTCTCCACATCCACCCCTCCTGTGTCACCCAAAGGCCCATCAGTCTGTCCCACTTGTCCCTCCACATCCAGCTCCCTCCCTGTTCTCCCCACATCTGCTTGTCTCCACTTTGCCTGTTTATGCCTGCTGTGAATGACTCTTCATCACCCATCTCCACTATCTGGAGATCTTTGCTCTGTCCCCTCACATCTTCACAGTTGGCCCTTTTGATGCTCAGGATGACTCCAGATTAGCCACAAAAGAAAAGGACATGGAACCGTCCTGCAGGCTGCTACAAACCTCCCTCTTCCAGGCCCTTTGGGTGACTGCAGTAAGGACTGGGTCTCTTCAGCCTCTCCTTGCTCCTCCCTGGCCTCCTGGATCTAGAGTTCGATAGATCAGAGGGAAGTCGTGTCTGACTGCTCACTTTCCTTCCCAGAGTACCAGACAGAGAACCCCAGACACCCCTGGAGGCTGACAACCACTGAAAACTTCAGCAACTCTGGTAAGGACCCTCTAGGTCCTTCCGTCTGACTAACTGCAGAACTGGAGAGGACCTGGGGATGGAAACAGCTACCCTGTCCCTCTCACATAAAGCACCATCCCAGACTCACCAAGGCTGAAAGGGCTAACATTTGAGGCTCTGATTTATGCCAGGTATCCTCCTAAATGCCCCTACAGCCCTATATGACAGATGTAGCATTAAAATGTAGATACCTCAGACAGAGGTGTTCTAAACTTTGCCTGTCCTCGTACAAAGGTTACTAGGAGGTCACAGCTGCCCAGCAGCAGGTAGAGAATAGGACCTGAGAATCTGGTGCAGAAGCCAGGCCCTAAGCGGGACCTGTGCGGCTATTCCTCCTCTGGAAGGGAGCTGCCCAGTTGTTGCCCTGATTACCATGTCCTCTGCCATTCAGACCTCTCCTGGAGAGGTTGGAGAGGCAGCTCAGCAGTTAAGAGCACTTCCTGCTCTTCCAAAAGACCCATGTTGGATAGCTCACAACTGCCTGTAACTCCAATTCCAAAGTATCTGATGTCCTCTTCTCGCCTCTGTAGGCATCTGCACACATGTGGCACACACACATATACATAAATAAAATTAAATCTTATAAAAAAACTACTGGAGAAAGCTTCCAGAAACCCAGAGTGCAGGTCATTCCACAATGTCCAGATGGCACTAGACTGGAGCCACTGTTTTTGTTGCTGCTGTTGGTTGTTTGCTTGCTTGCTTGTTTGTTTTATACAGGGTCTGGTGTACCCCAGGCTGGCCTCGAACTGGCTAAGTAGAGAAAAATGATCTTGATTCTCCTGCCTCCACCTCCCAAGTGCTGAGATTACAAGTTGTGCAACTACACAGTTTTATGTGGTACTGGAGTTTGAACCCAGGGCCTCCTGCATGCTAGGCCAGTCCTTGTGCCGACTCTTAAGCCAGTGCTTGACTATCATGGCTTCCATAGTGTTGCTGATTGGGACCTGGGAGCTGGGAGGACTTCTGGGCCCCCCGCCTTGTGGTAGAGAGGGTGAAGAAGGAGGGGGCTGGTGCTGCTGATTCTGCTTTTCTTTTCTGTGTCCTGGAAGACTGCTGGCTGCACCTGCGGCTCTTCTACCGGACCGCGCTAGTGCGCGAAGCCACGGTGAGCTCGGTGGAGGGCTGCAGCCTGAGCCCGCGCACAACTGGTGCCACCGAGGCCAAGCACCCGCGGGCGGCGCCCGCCGGCATCTCGCAAATCCACTTCCCGGAGCCGCCACCCGGCGCCCGCGTGCTGCAGCATCTGGAGCGCGGAGTGCTGCTGTGGGCAGGGCCCGAAGGCGTATTCGCCAAGCGCCTGTGCCAGGGCCAGCTCGCCCCTCACCGGGCACAGCCCAACAAGCTGGAGCGCGAGCGCATCTGCCAGCTGCTCGACACCCGCCGCTTCCTCCAGGATAAGGGCGCACAGGATGAATCCGAGGCTGGACAGAGAGAGTGGGCACTGGTGATGTGGGTGTTGGGCTTGGAGTGAGCATCAGGGGCAGTGGGCACAATATAAGCATTGGTGGATAGCGATGAGCGAGGGATGGGCATAAGGGCACTGTCCCAGGGGTGTGAGTTAAAGGGCATAAGCTCTGGAACGTGGAGCAGACATTGAGATGTGGAGGTGGGCATTAGGGCACGAGCACACAATGGTGTGGGCATAAGATATAAGCACGAAGTAGGCATCTGGTGAGATGCCAAGTTCTTTGCCCAACTCTGTCTTGGTGTCCCTAGAGCTGCAGGCCCACCTACGGGATGGCCACCCTGAGCCTGAGTACCAGATCTGTCTGTGCTTTGGTGAAGAGTACCCAAGCCCTCAGGATCAGCTAGAGGAGCGACTCATCATGGTCCATGTGAGTCACTCCCTCCACTCTAGCCCCCTGCAAAAGGCCTCTTACTGACCCTCTTCAGTCCCAGCTCCCCTCTCCCTTTTTGGTACATATGATTGAGCCTGAAAAAAAAAAGTGTGACTTCCCACCCAGAACATGGAAAGAGGGTTAGTATATCGTCCCATTCTCACAGGTGGAACACATCTTCGCTCGCCAGCTCCTCTTGCACTGCAAGTGCCGAAGAGGGTTAGTATATCGTCCCATTCTCATCACAGGTGGAACACATCTTCGCTCGCCAGCTCCTCTTGCACTGCAAGTGCCTGTGCCCTGAAGCCCTATGAGATCCCCAGGCCAGCATCTCCAACTTTGTCCCCCACCTTTTGACAGGGCAGAATCAGCCCTAAGCCAGCCACTTCTTCTTTCACACCTACTAAAAGCAGTCACTCTCATGGTATGAGCCCTTATCTTCAACTCTGCCCTCACTGAGCCAGTGGACTTGAGACCTCTACCCAGGTCACTGAACATGGAAATCCAAGGTAGTCTTCACCTTCCCCCAACCCGGGGTTGGAGCCTAAGAGGCAAGAAGTGACTGGCAGCTGGCATGGAGATCAGCAGGAACTTGACCTGGAGGCCCCTTGAAATGCAGCAATTGAAGCAAAAACAGGACTAAATCATTTGTCAGGAATACGACATGCCAACAGTTGATTCCTTAGAATCAGTCTTGCCCTACCATAAGGCTCCTACAACATTTGCTCAGTTTTCCAGTAACTAAACCCAAAGGGCTTTGAGTCAGGCCAATCAGTAGCAAATGCCCAGAGGTGCTGTGTTTCAGGTCCTTCCTCCTACCTGCTGTTAGTGTCTGTTTTGGAGCATCATAAGGGATCCCGAAACAGAGGACTTAGCCTGAATCCTGAGCTTTTCATGCTAATAACTGAACCACCAGCAGAACCCTGTCTTTGGAAAAACTGAGACAGGCTCCCAAACACATCTCTAAGGCAGAGGCCAAGGTCAGAGTCCAGATAGGACCACTCTTTACAAACTGTTAGAGGGAATCTTTGAGAACAGGGAGGGTCACCTTTAACATACAGTCTACCCACCCTGCCTTGTGACTCCTTTGTTCCTTTTCTGATTTCTGACCTTATTTATAGGATTCCTCTTACTGATTACTGATGCCAACATAATAAGCCTCTTTTAATAATATATTAATAACAGTTTTTTGTTTTTGTTTTTGTTGCTGGGGATCAAACTCAGAGCCTTGTGCATGCTAAGCATATGCTCCATCACTGAGCTACACCCCAAGTCAATAAGCCACTCCTGTGGAGGGAAAAAACGTTATCATTTGACAAAAGACTGAACTGTTTTTTTCAGTCATTCTGGGAATGTGTATTGAACTCCTGCTGTGTTCCAGTGTCCAGTGCTGGATATGGGGACAGAGCAGATCAAGATGGTCTTTTCTCCCCTGGAGTTCACAGCCTGTTTCCCAGGCTTTGATTGTCCCTATTTCTGACCCTTACAAAAGGGGTAATATTAAGGATTTACACAATCCTGGATTCAAAGCATTCACTAACTATTTATAGCACACACATCCAGCCTTCCTGTAGACTAGGCTCTCCCAGTATGCTAGCTTCTATTTAAGGGGCCCTGTTGGAGCCTCATCATGACCTAGACACTGAAGAGTTGCCTGTTTCATTTTAATGACAGGGCTACTGAGGCTTGGACCAGGATCTTGAGATGCCTCTAGAGAGTATGGCTCTGCCTAGATGGCTGTCCTCCCAATACCAGTCACTAGAGGGTGCTAGGGCTCAAGGGAACTGGGTTGAGCAAGCTCTACCATTCTTGTTGCCCTGCAGAATCCTCAGGCCAGGACTAGGAATGGTATGGCCCCAAGAACTCTGCACTGTGCGGAGGAAATGGCAGGATTAGGGTGGGGACTTGAGAGGTTGCTGTGGCTTTTCCCACTATATGGGGGGACCCTGCTCAGAGTCTCCCTGTTCCTGCCTGTGTCTCAGCTGTTCCTTCTCCTTCTGTCAGGAGGTTTCTTCATTCCTCTCCTGTTGGTGATTAACACTCTCCTTGTATGCTTACCATCTCTCTCTGCTGCATGTCTGGTTCTCTTCTCTTCCTCCCTCCCTCCCTCCTTCCCTCTCTCCCTCCCTCTCTCTCCCTATCTGCCCTTATTGTTTTTGCTTCAGTATCACTCAGCTTCAGGGCCTGTCCTTCCCTCCCTTCACCCTGCAGCTGCTCACAGCTTCCCAGTGTTGAAGGCCAGCCTCTCCTGCCCGCCCCCTTGGACTTGGTAGGGTGCGGTAAGGGAAGAGGGGAGGGCAGCCTGGTGGGCCCACCTCTTTTTGCCTTTCTAGGCTGAGAGGTTGGGCCAGTGGGCCTTTTAACTGTCTGGGCAGCCTGTGCAGACCGCCAGCCCTGGATGCAGTGCCTGGCTCTGTGGTCTCAGCAGCTCAGCCAGCATGCAGCAGCAGCCCTCACCAGGGACCCTGGCCCCCTGTGCTGAGCCCACCAAACCCCCCTACAGCTACATAGCCCTGATTGCTATGGCCATCCAGAGCTCGCCAGGGCAGCGGGCTACCCTCAGTGGCATCTACCGCTACATCATGGGCCGATTCGCCTTTTACCGCCACAACCAGCCTGGCTGGCAGAACAGTATCCGCCACAACCTGTCTCTCAACGAGTGCTTTGTCAAGGTGCCCCGTGATGACCGAAAGCCAGGCAAGGGCAGCTACTGGACCCTGGATCCCGACTGTCACGACATGTTCCAGCATGGCAGCTTCCTCCGCCGCCGAAGACGCTTCACCCGGCGGACAGGTGCCCAGGGCTCCAAGGGCTCTACCAAGGCAGGCCATGGACCCTCCAGAGTCACCATCCAGGACTCAGGAGTTCCTAACACCACAACTGGGAAGCAGTGCCCATTCCCACCAGAGCTAGCAGACCCCAAGGGCCTAAGCTTTGGAGGTCTGATGGGGTCTTTAACAACTAGTGATGCCAGGCCTCGGCTCTCCACTGAGCCCAAAGAAATAGGCTCATCCAAGCCTGCAGCAGGCCCAGGGGAGTTTCCCGTGGCTGCCTCACCTTCCCCATGCCCAGCATTCAGCATCCCTGCTGGCTTCTCTGAAGTCGAGGGTTTCAGCAAAGCCCCTACACCTGGCTTGGCTCCTGAGGGCATAGGGAGCAGTTACCAGTGCCGGCTGCAGGCGCTGAATTTCTGCATGGGGGCTGACCCAGGCCTTGAGCACCTTTTGACCTCTGCAACCCCATCCCCTGCATCGTCTACTCCTTCAGCCTCACTCCGGCCCCCATTGCCCCTGCCAGCTGACTCCAAGGAACCCTGGGTGTCTGCAGGTTTCCCTGTCCAGGGAGGCTCCAGCTACCCACTGGGGGTACCCCCTTGCCTTTACCGAACACCGGGAATGTTCTTCTTTGAGTGATGGCAGCCATACCTCTGCAGGGCTCCTGCCAACTATCCCCTCCAGAGACCCATCCTGGCTCTAGGACCTGGAACACTCTTCAAGGACTCAGCCTTGACAGGCCAAGGACAACAGGACTGGAAGGAAGGAGTGAAGCAGCGAGTACTCAGCAGACAAACTTGGGGTGAGGGGAAGCGGGGTCCTCGGGGATTTCCTTTGTGGCTCTCAAGGCCAATAAAGGCAGTGTGGTAATGAGGGTCTGCCTGCTGGATGGCTGGGGGCTGAGGGCCAAGACTCTGGGTTGCCGGGGCACTGTGGTTGTAGGGTGGGGTGACAGACATCAGGGACCTTGGCTGGAAAGGTCCTGCCTGAGGCTTTCTCCTGCTAGGGACTTTCTTGGGGAGTTTCCCAGGAAGGGAAAGTCGACCATGGGGGCTCAAGAGAGAGACCAAGTAGAGGCTGGGCTGGTCTCCCAACCTCAAACTGTAGCCGGACACCCTCATTATGGGCCGTCATGCACTCTGCCATTCATCCCCTTCCAGGCTTCTTTCTGTCATCTAGCCTGGATTGTGTAGAATGTCAGCCCCATTTACAGTGGTGGAAACTGAGGCTCAGAGCTCAGAGGGCTCAGAGCTCACTCCAGCTCCAGAGGAAGTTAGAGGGAATGATGGAGAGAGAAGGTACCCAGGCCTTTGTAGCTCTGACCTGTATGGAGGAAGGGGATGCAGGATGGAAAGCTGGTTCATGGGAGCTTAGGGTGGCTCCAGAGGACTAAGGGTTTTACTGAATGTCAGCATTAATGAGGGACCCCCTCATCCTTGTGCAGACAGGGAATTCAAGCTGCAAACCAGTACTTGTTCCTTTGGATTCCCCATATTAATGGGGCCTCTCCTGGGTCCCTAGCTCCCTGAGGTCTCCTGGTGTGTGTGTGTGTGTGTGTACACAGGCAGAGGTCAGAGTACAACTTGTAGGAGTTGGTTCTCTCCATCTACCATGTGGGTCTCAGAGATCAAACTCAGGTTTTCGGGCTTGACAGCAAGAGCCATCTCACCAGCCCTCCTGGAGACTGAATATATTTCTCTGAGGATAGGGAACTGAACCCCAGGCTTTTCCCTTCTCTAGCCACCCTCTTGGGTAGAGTAGGATACATAGTGGAATGTGTGATACCCACTAGAGGAATAGGCAGGAACCTGAGAGCCCATTGTCACCCCAGTCCTAGTACTGGAAGGAGCGGAGGCAAAGGACTGCCTCACAGAACCTCATCTCTTCTAGGCCATGGATATGGGGGGAGACAGAGGGGACAAGGATTCTGGGGTACTCCCATTTTGGTCTTTGATAGGGAGCCCAGAACACCTTATGTCCCATGAGGGGGCACCCAGTGACTGGAGACCCCTTCCTTGGGCAGGTATCCCAGTCTTCTCCAGAAATCCTCCCCTTGGCATCTGGCCACACTGACCTCAGCCTCTGTGCCTCTCTCCTCCCTTCTCAGGTCCCCTGGGGCCTAGGAGGAAGCGAGCTGGCTGGCCAGTCTGAACTGTCTGGTTCCCACAGACTCCAGAACTGAGATGGAGGAGGACCTGGGGGGCACAGGCTTGCTGTAGCCAAAAAGGGCTGGGAAAATGCCTGGTCAGCTGGGAGAGGGCCCTTCTTTCCTTCCCTTTCCCCCATCCTTACCATGCCTTCTGTACCCCAACCATCAGAACAGTGGGTCTGTGGGAAGGTAAGCAGCAAGGTCCTATGTGGTAAGGGGCCAAGGGAAACAGAGGAAGGAGGATTCTCATATGGCTGTAGGTCAAGATGTGGGTATGTGGGAGTGGGCATGATGCAGGGACACAGTCAGCTGGAGATAGAACAGGGTCCCTGGTGGGGGGCTTTTTCTGGGATGGGTCAGGGAAGGGGGCCTCTGCCAGGCACTGTTCCTGCTCTGCATTCCTGTGGAGCCCTGTGACACCAGCCCCTTCCCAGGCTATACCCTAGCTGGTAGGAGGATGGAAAGCCAGTGAGTCAGGGGAGCACCCTGCCCATCAGGATATTCAGCCTCTGAGCCTCTCCCCATAGCTTCCAGAAGAGGAAACTGAAACTGCAGGGAAGCCCCTCGCCTCTGCTCCTTCCGGTGCTGAGGCTGAGGAGATGATGGGGTCTCAGGCTCTATTCTTCTAGTGAAAACCATGCGTTCCACCATGTCTTATTTTCACCCAAGGGAGTAGCTAGCTCAGAGTGAGTCTGATAACAAAGCCGAGGCCTTACTCACCTGGGCCCTGGGGAACATACAAAAAGATCAGCCACACTCAGGTGTACAATACAGCTTTGGCCATTCCTCCTCCTGCCTCCCCCCAAAGACTTCTTGCCTGTTAAGAAGTGAAGATAGGCCCCCTCAGTCCCAGTCCCCAGACAGGACCTTGGGCTAGGCACCTACCCTAGACTCTTCATTCAATCCTGGGCCGGCCCCACCTCTCCAGATCTTGGTTTCACTCCCTTTGCCCACTGAGAAGGAGGTGAACATCCTAATTCTGTAAGTCTCAAGGGAGCATCTGGCCTGGGGGGCATAGTGGAGGAGGTCTCATCCCCGGAAGTATTGAAACAGGAAGACAAGACGCCATGATCTCACTGTTACTCTCTGCTTGCTACCCAGCAGGGACCCTCCCATTGGGCCTCCTAGCCTCATGTTCTTTCTGTGACCTAGCGAGACCTCTGGCTCTGGCCTGACTGTCCACACTGGGAGGTGGGGTGTGGGGCCAGTAAGCACCCTTCATCTAGGTCAGTCCAGATAAACCAGCTTGACACAGATGAAGAAGCTGAGGCCAGGGAAGGTAAACAGCACATACATCTAAGGTCACAGAGCAAGGCATTACAGCTGTCTTCTCGACCCACCCATCCCCTACCCTCTGCTGCCTTCACCCTATGACTCCTCAGATGAGGATGTGGCATCTGACAACCACAGGGACTCCCTCAGTGGAGGTGTGTCTGTCTCCAGCCCCAATCCCAGGGACTGTTTGCTCCTCCTCAGCAGATCAGAGCAGAAAAGGATTCTGAGACTGAATCAAATCCTAAAATGGTAGAATCAGTATTTAAGACTATTCCAGAGTTCTTAATCACAGCTGAGCAGATTCCTGAAATACATAGCTGACAGGGTGTCTTCTGGCCAATTTCTGACCCTCCACATTTTGTGCCATTCTAGGAAGCAAAAAGGGCCAATCCCATCGAAGTATGGCCACCCTGTTGGATTGTCTTTACCTGCTGGCATTTGGCCTGGCTGTCCAAGGTCACCAGAGGCCTCCCCTCCACCCTAAGGGCCCACCTCCCTCACAGACTCCCCACCCGGCTTATCTCTGGCTGGCCTCTTGCCCACAGCTTCTTTCCCTGTTGATTGCACTCCCTTGCCCGAATTACAAGTTAGGCATGCCTTCCCACACCCCTGACAGCATTTGGTCAGCCAGGAGACCCTCCCCCCACCTCAGGGCGGCCATAATGATGAGAAAGCAGGGGGAGGCCTACCGGCCTGGATATCGGCCTACTGGGAGTGCAGGAACCCAGGAACCCAAGTCCAACATCCCTTCCCTGTCCAAACTCCCACCACCCCACAACCCAGGCTGCCGGAGGCAAGGCTGTCTTCATTCTGCTCTTAGCTGTGTGACCTGGGGCAAGTTGCTTCCTCTCTGTTTTCCTCTTCAGGAAGATGTAGCTACTCACAGTGCCCGATGGGACTAGTGTGAAGATTCCTTGAGTTAACATTTGCAAAGTGCTTAGAGGAAGGCCTGGCATGTGGAATTGCAATGGAAATGTTAAATTCGTATTTGTGGGCTGGCATATCCCCAATTTATCACCCACCAGGGCTGTGTCTGGTTGCTATGAAGGAAGGGGACAGAATGAGGAGGGAGGGAGGACTAAACAAGGCTTTGGACTCAATTTCTGGCCTTTTCACATTCTTGCTCTGTGGATACACCTGTCTGGGCCCCTGTTTCCTCATCTATAAAATGGGGATGCTGTTTTTTTTATGCCCAGAATTGGCATGTGGGGCTCCTATCCACATCCTTCATGTACAGTTTGGTCAACATGAATGGAATTAGAATAGAAAGCTAACCCATTGTGGGATCCTCACACCCTCAGCCCAGTCTCCTCCATCCTATCCCTTGCACATGGCAAAGCCATAAACCACAGGCTCTTCTGAGGTGCCCTGCCTCACCCTGCTGGTAACTGGGTGGTGACTCATTCAGGGAGGCAGCTGGTGGGGCAGGAGGAAGCAGCTCTGTAGCTGAAAACAGACCAGAAGTCCTTTAGTCACTTGGTCAGCCGGGAAGGCCAGGGCTGCCCCCAGATCACTGTCCCACCTACAGCTCTTGTCAGTAGCCATCCCCATCCCAAAGGAGCCCCCCGCCCGCCACAGACCTGAAGAGCTACCTGCACATTCCTTCCTGCATCTGTGTATTGCCTCCATGTGAGTCACAGATGTAGGATCTGCTCTCATGAATCTTCTTCTTAGAACACAGGCTTCAGGGGACAAGGGTTGTGTCAGCCTTGTTCATTTCTCCTCTTCACTATCCTGATGACTAGCACACAGTAGGGCCTCAATGATTATTTGCCAAATGGATGGCATCCTGGCTATCCATTCTTCATGCACAAAGGGTCATCTCAAAGAACCCCAGGGGTTCCCTGTCTCACTCAATATCAACTGGGACTTGTGGGATCAGGGTGTGCTGATCCCTCCTGTCACTGACTCAAAGCAGCCTTCATGCCCACCCTTCTTCTGCCTGGGCAGTCCTCCACCACTATCCACAGGTTCTCTCCACACCCCCAGCCTCCTTCAAACATCCTCTGAGGAACATTCCCTGGGCATTGCCCCCTCTCCCCCAGCCAGTGCAGGCTAAGATCCATTTGCTTTGCCCACTAGAAGGGAGCTGTCAGAAACCAGGGGCTTTGTAAATTCACTGCTGTCCCCAGCACCTACAGCAGGGTGTAGAGTATAGCAGGGTCTCCTGAAATAGTTAACCAAACACAGGCTCAGGAGCCTGCACCAGTCTCTTCCTGGACATCTTATTTGACTTGGGCATTGACCTTGATAGTATTATCACCCCATTTTACAGGCAGGAGCCTGAGGCTCAAAGAGAACAGGTAAGTAGATTTGAACATGGAACTCATGTCTGTTACCTACCGGCCTGTGACTTGAGGTGCCTGATCTCTTCTGACTCTCAGCTCTGTCCCCAGTTCTTACAGCCTCCCATACTCTCCCTGCCTTTAGTCTCTCCTATTTGCTTGCCTGTCTGGCTGCAGATATCTAAGGTGTCCACATGACCATGCTCCTCCTTTGCTCAAAACTCTTCCACGACTTCCTGTTGCCTTGGATCAGCCTACCATTTGGGGCTTCTGAAAACTTCAAGATTACCTCCTTCAACTTGTGCAAAACCTTACTAGACTTCTCTGAGGTAAGCTTGCTTTCAGCCCCACACTTTTTGCCCTCCCCTTGGCCCACCACACTCTTCCCCACTATCTGAACCTTGCTCCATATGTGGGCTTACCTAAAGTGTCACTCCTAGAGAAACATCAGGTTGGTGACTCCTTCCTGTCCCCACGCGTTCCCAGCTTCTCCCAGCCCCCACCCTTGCATCCTTGTGTCTCAGTTTCCTCAGCTGTGGAATGCTAGATGATTAATATGTGGGACTTCCTCAGTACGGTGAGTACAGTGTGGGGCTCCAGAAATGCTTCCTCTAGAGGGCAGAGAAGAAGCAGGTGCAGCGCTGCCTCACAGGCGCAAGCTTGGCCTTCCCTTTAAGGCACCCTCCAAGACAGCCCTGGCTGCTTTGCTCCCTTGGGGTGCTGAGCATGGCCTACATCCTTTCCCACCACTGCCTGGTTGAGTTCAAGGTGGCTGGTGGAATTCAAGGCCACTAGACCCAGACAGGAAAAGGCAACGTCACCAGCTCTGGTGTAATCCAAACCAGATGTGGCCTCAGTGGCTTCCAGACCCAGGGGGTGGTCACTGTGGGCCTGGCCCAGGCCCAGAGGCAGGAAATGGTCTTGGAGGAACGCTCCCTGGGCTGGGCTCAGCTAGGAGGAGGGTCCACTGGAGGCTCTTAACCCTTCTTGGCCCAAAGGGCTGTCCAGGCCCAGCTCTGGAGAGGCACACACATGGTGCAGAGGACAGTGACAGCTGGATGGGTACACTGTAGGAGCAGTCGTGTCCCTGGGCTGTGAGGAGAAGGCTATCTCATTGCAGGGGACAAGGAAACTTGCAGCTTGTCATCTTGGCAATGGCGGGGTCCCAGGCCCAGTGCTCTGGTCCTGAACTATGCTCAGGCCTGGCTCCAGCTTGGCGGTCCTCAACCAACCATGGTCTCCCTCCCTCCAGCTCTAGGGTACAGAATCCTCCAGGGACAGAGCTCTGTTGAGAGAGCAATAGGACTTGGGCCCCAGTCTCCAGAGAGGCAGACTCAACTCTGCAACAGGCCTGCCCCCTACCCTCAAGATGTTGCCTCAATGTGCTCTGCAGTCCACAGAGGTATCAAAATCCCTGCAAAGCCTCATTTTCCTGTCTACATTTTCAAATCTATATTGTTTCCAGGGACCTTGGGAGGCTCAAAGGAGGTGTCTGATCACTCTTGCAGACACGCTTCTGAGAGAGACAGGATGGCATAAGGAGGGGGTTGGTGATGCAGTAATCAGCTCTGCCCATGGCTTCAGGTGGGCTTCTTGCCCAGGACATGCTAACTTGCCTGGGTAGCCTTGGGCAAGTCACTTTCCCTCTCTGACCCTGTTCCCTGATTGTGAAATACAATGGAAGAGCCCTGTCCGATCCCCCACCGGCACAATGGCTCTGGAGTGGCAGGAGAGAAGAGCTGAGGTTGTAATGATCATATTCCAGAAGAGAAAACAAGCTTGTGCTGGGAATTGGGGTTCTAGTTCCAGCTGCTGCAGCCTTTGATGAGAAGCCTTCCCTGTCCTGGTCTTGGTTTCCCTGGATGGATCCAGAGCTTGGATCTCTGCTCAGGCTGGACCTCATTCCCTCCCCTCCTCTCGAAAGTAGTGACTCATCTCTCATCATCATGCTGTGTGGCCAAGGCTCATCAGGGTGGGGTCAGTGAGGCTGAAAGGACCACTCAGTAGAAACCACAGGCCCAGCTGGCCAGGGAAGTGAGGCAGCAGGAGAGTTGACAGGCAGTGGGCAGGGGTGTGTGGTCCTGTGGCCCCTACACATAATCACACCTCCCACTCACAATTCAAACCAGGCTTTTGAAACCCCCAGTTCTCAATACAAAGGTTAGGTTCAAACCCCAAAGTCTGAGACCCCACACCCTATGTAGTACCTGCTGAGGGGTCTGGCTCCACCCTCCAAGCCAGCATTCTTGGAAGCAGGAGGATACACAGCATCACAAAGATCTCTTATCTGTGGGCACACCCAAGCCTGGGCTGAGGTCAGCCTCCCCATCTGACAAAAGATACAACACTCACATGCCAGTCACTGCAAGCACAGCATTGTGGTGCTTACTGCTCGTCACCTGCTGGCTCTGCCACTCCTGCTGGGACTTCATCTAGGACTCCGTCACCTCACAGTCAGAAAAGTTGCACCCTACTGTGGCTCTGCTCCCCCCCTCCCCGCAGATGGGCCCCTCCATGCACATCTGACCTGGATGAGGCCAGTAGGGAGTAGAGAGCAGGGCTCACCATGGTAGGACAAAGGCATTGCAGGCTGCAGGACCTGCTAGCCTTCCCTGGATGTCCTTGTACTCTGTTCCCACCTTTGCTCAAGATGAATTTGTGGGAAGAGTTCATCTTAAGCCCCAGGCTTGGACTTGTTGAGCAGGCTCCGAGTTCCTTCCCAAGCTCTAAGCTTCAGTTTCCTTACCTGTCCAATGTGGATCAGGACACTAGCACTCTCCCCAGCTCCCTGCATTGGCCATATACAGTATCTCAATCTCATCAATGTGCCAGCATCTTCCCTATGACTCAGGTCTTACCTCTGCCTCACCACCTGACTCGGTTTCCCTCTGGGGAATAGAAATAATGTCTACTTTATCATCCTGCTCTGAGGAATAGTGGGCTAATCGATGTGTAAGCCCTCAACTGGAGGCCAGCACAGGTTACCTTGTACACTTTGACTTTGGCTCTTGGGACTTCCCCCTCACTGGTACGGAGACCAAAGTACAGAGAGGAAGCCACTTGACCATAACAGGAGTTATGCAGTCTGGCTCCTGAGCTTGCATTTGTGAACACACAACAGACTGGGTGAACTCAGTGTCGGGCATACAGTAAGTGCATAATGAATGCAGTCATCTGTGATCTCACACAAGTGTGTGTACATGCAGAGGGAAGGAGGCTGCCTCCAACCTGTACATTTATTTACAAGGCACAAGCTGAAAGCAGGTTGGGGCTGCCCAATGGCCTTCATATTTTTCCCGGGCCTGCTCATCCCATTATCCGGGATTGTGGATGCCCCTGGGATGGGTCTATAGTAGCTAGGTCCCTCAGGTAAGCTCAGGGATAGCCTCATGTCCCCAGGCCTCTCCCCACCACTACCACCCCAGGCCTGGGCTGGTCCTTTCTCACAGACTTCCTGTGTGTTGGTGGTCACAAAGACAGTGCGTGGGGCCAGGCAGCCAGATGGTGTGTAAAAGGCCATATCTGTCAGGAGTATGAGGTGGGGCACAGAGGTCCTCTCACACAAAGCTTGCTCTGTCTCCCCTGGCAGCTGGGCTGCATTCCTGCACCACCAGGAGCTTCCAGTCCACCACCACAGCAGCCCACCTGCTGGACCCCCAGCCATCCCACACCAGGCAAGGGTACCCCAGGTGGGGCAAAGCAGGGGCCACCAGGGCAGCAGTTCAAATGGAGAGGGGGAGCGAGGGAGGGAACAGGGAGTGGCCTGGACATCCTTGGAGTCTGGGTGGTGCTGGGCCACCGCCCTGTCTAGGGAGGCAGTAGCAGGATGAATTCCAGGCCACACTCCGAGCTCACATCGGGGAAGCAGCATTGAGTAGGGGCGTGGGGAGCCCCGAGCCTCCCAGCCTGGTGCAGCCTTGTCCTGGTCAGCCTGCCCAGATCTGGCCCGCTTTCTCTGGCCTTCTGAGCTGTGTGACTTCAGCCCTGGGCACGGTGCTGCTGCGTCCAGGCTCAGCTGCTCCCAGGGCTCAGATTCCCAGAGCCATCAGTGCCCCTGAACTGCTGATCTTCTTGAAGCGATTAGCTGCGCTGACAGCAATGAAGTTTTTCTGGTGGGAATGAGAAAGGAATCCTGGTCAACACCTGGGCAGAGAGGCTTGGGTCAGCTGAGTGTCCTAAGGATCCCCCTTCCAGCTGGTGAGATGGCTTAGTAGGTAAAGGTGCTTGCCACCAAGCCTGATTTTGATCCCTGGGACCCCACACGCATGCTGTGGCATGTGTGTACCCATCCTCACCCTCACAAATGTGCGGGCTCATGCGTACACACATACATACACATACAATGTTAAATAAAATTTTAAAATTTTTTTAAAAGTGGGACTAGAAAGATGTCTCTGCAATTAAGGGTACTGGCTGCTCTTGCAGAAGACCCGGGTTCAGTTCCCAGCATCCACATGGCAGCTAACAACTGTCTATAACTCCAGTTCCAGGGGATTCGATGCTCTCTTCTGACCTCCAAGGGCATTGCACAACATGGGTGCATGTACATACATGCAGGCGATACACTCATACACGTAAAATAAAAACAATAAATAATTGCTGGGTGTGGTGGCGCATGCCTTTAATCCCAGCACTCGGGAAGCAGAGGTAGATGGATCTCTGTGAGTTCGAGGCCAGCCTGGTCACCATAGTGAATCCAGGACAGCTGGGGCTACAGGGAGACCCTGTCTCAAAAAGAGCAAAAAATAAATAAATAAAATAACTCCAGTTCTAGGGGATCCAACATCCTCTTCTGGCCTCCTCAGGCATTGCATGACACAGGTGCACTTATATACAAGCAGGCATAACACTCATACATCAAATAAAAATAAATAAATAGATAACTTTTAAAATTTGATTTTTAATATTCCCCCTTCATTCCAGGAGGATGAGAGGCAGGGAAGACACATTGCCCAACCTGGTTATAAGAGGCATCATGACCTTGTTTGTCCAAGTTAAAGACCTTTCACCAAGCCCAGGAGTCCCTCCACAGCCTGGTCCTCATTCCCCTCTGACCTCCTTCCTCTCTCCAGCCACGCTGGCCTGCTACCTGTCCCTCACACGAGCCACCCAGGTCCTGCCATGGGACTTTACTCTGACTGTTTTCTTTTCTGGATATTCTCTCCACATCTCCTTGAAGTCTGGGTTCACCTGCTCCTCCTCCCTGGACCCTGACTCCCTACTTAGAGGTGCAACCTCTCCCCTGGCACTCCTGACTACACTTCTAAGTACTCTCCACTTCCCAGACAAAGTAAATCCCAAGATCCAAATCCTTATCTCCTGTCTCCACTGCCACGTTCTCACGTCTAGATTTATTAAGGCAGCTGCTCAATAAAAATTTGGAAAATGAAGGCGGAAAGTTGTGATGGGATCAGAGATACTGAGTCCCATATTAACACCCCTCCCCAGGCAGGTGGGGTGGGTGGTGAGCTCCAGTTCAAGGTAGGAGCTAGTCCAGAGAAAAGCCAGCCCTGTTTTCTACACAAGCAAGGCAGGTCAAAGAGCCTGCCAAGCCATAGCTCGTGGGGCAAGGATGCATGCCAGGACCGTCCCACCCCTGGGTCCTCCCCCTACCCTAGGCCTGGTACCTTCCAGCGCCTCTTCATGAGGTATTTCTTAAGCAGGATTTGGGACTTGAGGCGGCGGTTGCAGCGCTTGGCTTTCTCTGCCAGGTTGTTGAGCCAGGGGTGGGCGAGACACTGCTCAGCACTCATCCGTGCACTGTGGGAAGGGCAGTATAGTGAGGGTGGGCACATGCCAGGCCCAGATGGCTCAGGCAAGTGCACTGCCCTTGTACACCCAGTGTTCACAGCTAGGCAGGCCTCACCCCTGGTCCTTTGTGATGAGATTGGAGACAAAGTCTTTGGCTTCATCCGACACAGCTTCGAAGGTCTCCTCATCAAAGTACCAGTTGGCAGACAGGACATTGTTTAGAGTCTCAGTGTCATCATCGCCCAGGAACGGGGAGAGGCCACTCAGCCTAGAGGGAGGGAAAACAAGAGAAGGAGGTGAGGTTGCAACTACTGGGGGGATGGGGCAGAGCCTAGGAGGCAGAACCATGTGCTAGAAAGACCCCCAGCTTCCCAAGTGGGACAGACCTGGGTTTGAATCTGGTTGGGTGACTTTGGGCAAGTCACTTCCCCTCTCTGAGCCTCACTCTTCTCATCTGTAAAATGGGCATGATCACCCCAGTTTTCCAGGGTTACAGTGAAAATGAGGAACACTGAGTGCAAAGTACATGGTGAGTGTACAAAAAAATGTCTACTGTCCCTCCGTCCCCACCCCAGGCATGGGGATCTGCTGTCCAGAACCCTAGGCTTGGATGCTGTGCTTTTCGGGGGCCATTTTCCATGTATAAAGTAAGAGCAAAGTGCCCTTTTTGGTTCTCTTAGCACTCCCATCCCAGCAAACACTGGATAATGGATGAGGGAGGTGGGACCACCTCATCAGAACCCCAAGGTCAGCCTTACCCGCTTCTATCCATCCCTTTCCCCAGCTGAACACAGCTGAAGCCCTCCCCCAGGGCTCACAGCATGTAGGTGATGACCCCCAGGCTCCACATGTCTGTCTTGTCGGAGATCTGATCATAATTCACCACCTCAGGTGACAGGAACTCCGGGGTCCCAAAATTCACCTTCAGCTTCTCATTAGGGTTATACCTGGAAATGAGGTAGAGTGCTCAGTGCCCCAGCTTGTCACCAGGCACCTCCATCCTCTTTCTCACCCACCCCCCAGGCCTACCCACCCACCCAGCTGGTACCTCCGTGCCAGGCCGAAGTCAATGATCTTCACCAAGTGGCCTGTGGTATTCACACACAGGATGTTCTCTGGCTGAGGAGACAGGGGTGGTCCAAGTTGACCTCTGACTCTGCTCATCTTCCTTCCCTGCCAGCTCCACCCAGGTCCCAGACTCACTGAGGCCCCAGCTGCCAGGGCAAGTTGTTGGACTGTCCTCAGAGACCTGCCCAACCTACCTGCTCTCAGCTCTAAGGAGGCTGAGGCCCTGAGGGGCTTGCCTCGATGCACAAGATCACCTAGTGGGATCAGGTAGAATTTCTCTCCACTGAAGGCTGTGGAGGGTGGGGAAACTGGGGTCTGCAGAGAGGCCACCATTAGGAATTGGAGTCCTAAAGGCCTGAGCAAAGCCAAACCTGGAGCTAACTGATTGTCTAAAATGACTGGCAAGCGAGTCCCCAGATCCTCCAGTCTCTGCTTCCCCAGTGCTGGGATTACAGGCATGTACTGCCGCACCTTACATGGGTACTGGGGATCTGAATTCAGATCCCCAAGCCTACATAGCAGACACTTCACCCCAACTGAACCACCTCCCACCTATCTATTTATTTGCTTGCTTATTTATTTATTTATTTATTATTTATTTATTTATTTATTTGAGATGAGGTTCTCACTATGTTGCCCAGTCTGGCTCTAAACTCCTGGCTTCAAGGGATCCTTCAGCCTGAGCTGTGGTGCTGGGACTATAGGTACATGCCACTTAACTTCTCCATGTTAGCTCCTTGATGCTCCAGAGAGCACTCTACAGGGTGCAGGCTGGAAGCACACGATGCTGCTGAGTTGGTTCTTTTAGGGAAAAGACTGCTTTTCACAGCCTCTCCCAGGCTCAGCTAAGGCTCAGAAGGAACCCACACCTAAATGCAGGTAGAGGTGTGCGCGACCTGATCTGACCCTTCACTTTATCTTCCTATCACAAGGGGCATAGGACTAAGTGTGTGAAAGAGATGAACATTAAAGTTAGGACAGGGTTCAAAGATGGGCGATCACACATATTTCACCATCTCCATGGAGGCATACAGGACAGCAGGCCTGCACCTTCCAGGGTCTTACCACCCTGACCTGGTCACTCAACACAACTCTTTGTTTGGGCTCTGTGGTTGTTCAATTCAAGGCTTCCTGGAGGCCTCTTCAAAACCACTGTTTCCTCAGAGCAGGACAGGGACTGCATAGCTTAGCCAGTACCCCAAAGCATGGATGGAAAGAACAGACTTAGGAACAAGCATGCAAGAGACATGAAGCAGACCCAAGCTTCCTTCTGGAAGTTCTCACAGGATCTCAGAAGCCTGTGCCCAACAAACCTGGGGATGACCTGTGTCTGGAGCACTCTGTTTTCTGTGCTGTGAGACCCTTTTATATGGAAAACGTAATTGTTATTCTGAAAACCAAATTTTTGAAATTATTTATTTTTATTTATATATATGGATGTTTTGCCTGCACATATTAAGTTCATCTGGTATTTAGTGTCCATAGAGGTCAGAAAAGGGTGTCAGATCCCCTGGAACTAGAGTTATGGACAGCTGTTAGTTGCCATGTGGGTGCTAAGAACTGAACCCTACTCCTCTGCAAGAGCAGCCAGTGTTCTTAACCATTAAGCACTCCATCCCTGAAAAACACATTTTCAGTTGCAGAGGCTAAAGGCTGGCCTTGCTACTGAGATGTTGTATTTTATTTAGGGACCCTGCTCCATGCCCCTTCCAACTAGCCTTCACAGAAGAGTGGCAGATGGCAGATCTTTAATGTCCCCTGTGTTGACCTCCAGCTGCCCTAACTCCTAGAGGGATCATCTGCCCTGGTAACTTGAGTCGCTCTCAACTCTTTCCTGCCCCCCCATACACCATCAGACCATATTATTCTATTTTCAAAATGCACTTCTTCTGCCCATATCATCTCTCTGCTTGCTCCCTAAAACCCTTCCTCTACCTTGGCTCCACTGAGAACCATCTCCTCTCTCTTTCCTTTTCTGTCCTCAGGGAAGGTAACTGTGCATTGACCTGAGGAGCTGGGGGGAGGACCACATACCCTCTCAGAACAGTGTGGACACTGAGCAAAGCCAGAAGCTAACATCTACCACCTGCTTCACCCCAGGAATGCCAGCTTCTCCACTTCCATCCTGTGAATGTCCTGGCTACACTCCTGTGCCTTTCCTAGCCTTTTAAATGGCTTCTAATACCATTTGCTTATTGAGTCATTATGTTAGGAACAGATATCTGTTTTTCTCACTAATATGTAGGTTCCCTGGGACAGTCCTTCATAGTCCCAATGGTAAGCCCCCAAGGTAGAGATGGTCTTTCTTGCTAATGGTGCCTTCCTGACGCAGGTTCTCAGCACCTGTGAATACTGACCGAGCACAAGTACTGTCCGAGGTGCTGATGAGAGTCCATACTCCTCCGCATTAACATCCCATTTCCTCTGCTTGCCTCATCACTCCCCCCAGCCACAGCACCTGCCTTGGGGATGGGGCATACCCAGTGCTTACGCTAAGCTCCAGGCAGCCACTCACACTGAAGGGAGTGAATGTGATACATGAAATCTGCTGTTTGTGGTCTGCTGTGTACAAGGGACTCCAGGACAGGGAGGCTGCAAAAGTTCTCTTGTTGGGGATGGAGAGATGGCTCAGTGGTTAAGAACACTGACTGCTCTTGCAGGGGACCCGGGTTCGATTCCCAGCACCCACATGGCAGCTACAAGCCAACTGTCCTTAACTCCAGTTCCAGGGGAATCTGAAGCCCTCTTCTGACCTCCGCGGCATTGCACGACACAGGTGCACTCACATACATGCAGGCTATGAACCGTCCTTTCCAGTTCCAGGGGAATCCAAAGCCCTCTTCTGACCTCCGCAGCATTGCACGACAGAGGTGCACTCACATACACGCACACATAAAATAAAAATAAATAAAATATTTTTTTAAAAAGTTCTCTTGTTAGATTTCATGACTAGTTCCCACCTCCTGTGCATTGCTGCACTTACAGGAGGCTTCTCAGTCAGCCCCCCAAAGGCTCCCCAAGAACACTGGGGGCTATGAAGCCTTCCCTCAGCACTAGGTGCTGATTCTGAATAAGTGAGGACACACCGGCAGTACCTGACACAGCCAACACAGAAGTGGGTACTGTGAAACATTTACTGACTGTTGGGATGCGTGAGATACTAGAGTACAAGTTCCCCGAAAGTTGGGGCTGTGGCATGTCTCCTCTAACCCCACTTCTCATCTCCTGGCACTTAGTAAATGCTCATTGAGTGCTTTCAGTCTATCAAAGGAAAGATAGATGGAGGAGGAATGGGAGGATGGAGACATGACTGGTGACAACAGTGACACCATGTGGTCAGATGTTGCTCCTGACCCACCCGAGAGGCTGCAACCCAGTACCTTGAGGTCCAGGTGCAGGACCCTCATCTTGTGCATGAAGAGTATCCCATCGCAGATCTGCCTGACGAACACCATAGTGTCTACCTCGGTCAGATGATAGTCCTCATCCACGATCCTCTCAAAAAGCTCGCCGCCCTCGATGCTGTATGCACAGATCCCTCTGCAGGCTGGCTCAAGGCTACCAGCCCTGCTGCCCAGCCCCAGCCCCAGCCCCACAATAGGCACTCACTATTCCATGAACAGGATGATCTCGTGTGAGGTCTCAATGGCTGAATACAGCTGGATCAGGTTGCGATGGTTCAGCTGGTTCATGACCTCAATTTCCAGCATCACCATTTCCTGGGGATCAGGGAAACCAGGGGACCTGCTGAGCACCACCACTCCCATCCTTCAGCTTGCTCCTTTCTGGTCCCCTTGCCTCCCACGTCTCCCTTCCTATGGCCTCTCTCTGAGTATCCACATCAAATCCATGATCTTAAGTTGCACCATGTGGTATACACATCTGCAATCCCAGCATTGAGGGGGCAGAGGCAGGAAGATCAATCACATAGTGAGATCACTATGTGAAGGTCACATAGTGAGACCCTGTCCTACCACCCCTCAAAGTGGAATTTGTTCTCAGATATACAGCATTGCTACCTTTGAGCACTCTGTTCAGCTTTGGGCTCATATATCCAGAGTCTGGCTTGCCATTTCCCTTGGGGACTAAGAGGACCCCAAATTTATCATGCCCCAAGTAAGCCCTTCTCCATAGTTGAATTGTCCACAGCTTGCCCACCAGGAAAAGGACACCAACCTTCACCCAACACCCAGCAGGACAAAGAGCTAAGAGCTGTCTCAACAGCCCCACCCCTACCCCATTCATTTCTGCATGCTCACAGCCTGCCCATGGGTAAGGCCTTTAAAGGGCATCCACTGTAAACTAGATTATGAACCTAGCCATTCCTCACTCCCTCTTTCTACTCTAAGCAATTGTTTCTTGTCACTTTCAGAAAGTTTGCAAATCAGCTTCACATCAGTAGGTATCATGGACGATGGCAGGAATCTTTACACATGAGAATTGGCACATGCTGGGGCTGGAGAGATGGCTCAATGGTTAAGAGCACTGACTGCTTTTGCAGAGGACCCAGGCTTGATTCCTAGTACCCACATGGAGGCTAACAATTGTAACTCCAGTTCCAGGGGATCTGACACCCTCTTCTGACTCCACGGACACTGCACAGGGGTGCACTTACATACATGCAGGCAATACACTCGTACACATAAAATAAAAATAATAAAGAAAGAAAATTGGTACATGCTATAGATTGGGCTTCTCCCTGTTTCCAAAGCTCCAGGGCAGCTGTTCAACACTAGGCCCTGGTACAAGACTGTTGGACCACACTTCTCCATTCTACCCTTTGTTTAGCTCTCATCTCACCTGCCCCGTCTCCAAAGAGGCTCCCATCTAAAGTGGGCCTCCTGAGCCCCAAATTCCACATCACCCCCCTTGTTTTATATTATTTTACTTCCTGGCACTTTTAGTAACTGAGGTCATGATTTTTGTTCTGTTTTAGCTTTTAGTCATCTGTCTGTCCTACTCTGGCATGCCAGCCCCATGAGAACAGAAACTTTTTAGGTTCTCTGACATTTCTCCAGCTTCTGGCACAGTGGAGGGGAAAGAGCTCAATCATCAATTAACCAACAGCTGGCTCCACTGCACATGGGCACTGAGCACATCAAACCTGGTGCTGCGATACAGGCCAGTGAACAGCAGTCAAAAGTACAAATGTGGGGCTAGAATGTAGTTCAGCTGATAGAAGTCTTGGGTTTGATCCCCAGCACCATATAAACTGGGTTCAGTGGTGTATACCTGTAACCCCAGCACTCAGGAGGTAGAAGCAGAAGGATTAGGCATTCAAGGTCACCCTGGGATATATAAGACCCTGTCTCCTGGGAGATCTTTTTTTTTTTTTTTTTTGAGACAGGGTCTCCCTGTAGCCCCAGCTGGCCAGGAGGCTGGCTTTGAACTCACAGAGATCTGCCTGTCTCTGCTTCTCGAGTGCTGGGATTAAGGGTGTGCATACCACTATGCCCAGCTTCTCTGGGGAAATCTAACAAGATAACAGGTGCTTTCTCTGAGAACCTCTTCCTGCTGAGTGAAGATGTAGCACCCCCTCCCTGCCACCCATCCCCATACCTTGTCCTTGGGAGTTTGTTTCTTGATGACCTTGGCTGCCAGCTTGAGGCCTGTGGCTTTCTCTGTACAGGTACACACAGCTCCAAACTTGCCTCTGGAGAGAGAAGAGGTTGTAGTAAGGGCCTGTCCAAGACCTAGGTGTCAGCAGGGACCTGTGCTCTCTTCTCACCTTGGCCCAGGCCCAATGGTGACTCTGGCTCTTCCCTTGGGAGATGAGAGCACTCACCCTGCCAACCCCGACTCCCTCCGGAAGTGGAGGCTCTTCTACCAAGATAATGACTGGAGGCCGGCCATGGACACTATGCTGAACACACTGTGTGTTTCCTATAGGAACACTGAATGGCTAAAGGCACATCTGGACAAGCGACCATCATATGCCAGCACATGATCGATGGTGAACAGCATGTGGAGTCACACAGAAGCAAGGAAGTGCAGGTGGGCCTGTCCTAGTGGGTGTGTCTAGACCACAGGACCTGGGTACTTCCCTGTGCATGCCTGGTTCCCTGTCTCACCCTCCCAGTGCCTCCTTGGAGTTCATGCTGAATTCACTGTTGACATTTCCAGTCCTCAGCTCCACGATCCGGTGCGGGAAGGGGGCCGGGGGTGGCGGACAATCATCTAAGGAGGCAGAGTAGCACTGTCAGAGTCAGGGGTGGGGACTCTGGGAGAGTCACCCCTCCTGCCTGGCCTGGGCCCCTCCAGAAAAGTTGAGTTTACCAAGTGATGCCCAAGGGACATGTGGCCAGGACGGAGACTAAGAGACCCAGTTTCCAATTCTAGCTTTGCCACGTACACCCAAAATGACCTTGGGAGATGTCCCCCATCAGAGGAGACCCAGCTTCTCAGCAGAGTAAGAGAGCTGATCAAACTTCTCGGACCATTCCCAGGTTGAAAGAGGATGAGGACTGTTCCACTAAAAACAATACACCCAAAATGACCTTGGGAGATGTCCCCATCAGAGGAGACCCAGCTTCTCAGCAGAGTAAGAGAGCTGATCAAACCTCTCGGACCATTCCCAGGTTGAAAGAGGATGAGGACTGTTCCACTAAAAACAACTATACAGCCAAACAAGCTCACACAGCAGTCGAAAATGGAATCTCAGACAGTGGGGCGGTTGTGTCTGGAAGGATAGGATGGGTGTCTGAATGGCTGGGGTGGGTGGCAACACCTGTCAACTACCTCCTGATTACACCACGGTAGGGTGCCCAGGGACACCGCAGTTCAGTGGTGAGATGCCGCCACCCAGTGGGCAGCATGGGAACAGTGGACTCTGAAGTCCAGCAGGCTGACTCATTGAAATGGAAACCTTTAAAAATAGAGGCAGCAGGGAAGCCGCTCTGGTGATAAATCAGACGGCCCTTGGAGGTGGTTCAGGTCCTGTGATGCCAAGGATGTGATCCCTGGGCAGGGCGGAGGTCTCTGTCGCCACTGGGGGCAGGAGACAGGGCCCCTGGCTGCCACCCAGCCGCCAGGTCCTCCCACCCTGTCTGGGTGGCACTGTGCCGCTAACCAGGCAGACTGGCAGGTCTCCCAGGGCACCTCAGCCTGGAGGAGTGGGTGTCAGGATACTCTGGGCTCTCCTGACCCCATCTCACCTCACCCCCCAGCCCAATTGCACCCCTGCTGCTCAAACTGGCTCTCTCCTGCTACTGAGTGAAGCCCGGCTCCTTTTCTGAGTTCCTGTGGAGGCCTCTCTGCAGCATTGCCCTAACTTACACACCCAGTTTCCCTAGCCACTGCTCCCTCAAAGACACCTGTGCAGCTTAGGAATCTTCTGTGGCTCCTTTACACCCTGTCCCCAGCCATATCATTTCTCATGTCGTTTCCCAAAGTTGGGCAGTTGAGCCCTTCTGCAGATGGGGCCCCAAATCCACCATCCAGCAAGTTTATGTCCTGTTATCTGCATAAATTTTTTAGCATCCCAGTTTAGTTTAGCCAAAGTAGAGGAAAATTCAAGGTGAGTGCCGTAGGCAGGAAATCTTCATTGCCTGTGTTTGACCATTTTGTTTGGAAGTTCTACCTGGGGCCCTGTGCCATTTGAACAGAGGAGCCTGGGGTGGCCTGGTGGGGGACAGCCCCCTGCGTGGGGACACTGCTCAGTCCCTTCCCTCCCTCACCCCCATGGCACCCCAGGCCCCACCTTCCCTGCCTACCCAGAATCTGGAAGCAGTCTTCCTCCTTGGCTGTGAGACAGAGGGCCTGCCCCACCTCCACGCTCTCTGATGGAACCGCTTGGAACTTGATCCCCTGTGAGGTGTCCCCTTGCACCTTAGCCTGGCCAGCTTGGCCTGGGGCTTTCTCTGTTGCTTCCTTCTGGTTCCCCGCCAGGTTTTTTGTCCCTCCTTCTGCCTTGGATGGCCCAGGATCTGGGGGGCTGCATGTCACGGGCATCCCTTCAAAGATGAGTTCTGTTGCATCACTTAGGGGCTTCGTGGCCAATGTCTTCTCAGAGCTAAAAGATGTGCAGAAGGGTGAGACACCTCAGGCAGGCTGGAGGTTTTCAGACCTCACCTGCTGTCTGGAGCTAAGGCAATCCTGTCCCCACCCCAAATACACCCACCTCTACCACATCTGCATCAAGGGCTGACTCTGTGCACTCAGAGAAACTGTTAACGGGATCTGGTTGCCCTGATGTGGTTAATCATATAGACACAACAGGGAGCTACAAGGCTCCTGATTCATAAAAACTGGGCCACATAACTGATAACAATGCATAATTATTAGACTGATATGGTAAGAGCTGTTATTTTTGTTTATAGATCATTAATATCCAGGTTTGCATCCTAAAGTTGGTGCTGTTTTCTGGTATGAACTCATATTAAATTAAGAAAGCTACCCTCTCCTGACAGCCTGGCCCTGCTTAGACAGAACCAAGGGAGGTATAGTCCTCAGAAGCCTAGAGAAGAGGCATATAGCCCGGGTGGCCTATGGAAATATCTCCCCACTGACAATCCATCTCTGAATGAAGGTAATAGCCTGGTTTCTTCAGGGATAAAGTGGTAAAGTGGAAGCCTGAGACAAAACTACCCTCCCTAGTGCCAGATGTGAAGACATCAATGTTCAAGCTGGGCGCCCTAAACGTGACCCCTTGGAAAGAAAACCATTGGACCTCTCCCACCCAAAGCAGGGATATTCACCATGAGATAATGGCAGGGCAGCTAGGGCTGTGCAGAAAGGCTGGTGAGCCCCTCCGTCCTGCTTCGTGGGCTTCTGCTGACTTCTTGCCCACCATGGGCTCCGGGGACACCTGGCTGCCTGCAGGTGTCTTCTGGGCATCTGGCTTCTGAATGCTGGCCTCAGCCGTGGTGGTTGGCTGCGGCAGAGCTGCTGGAGGCCCTGCACTGCTCTCAGCTGGCCCTCCACCCCTGTCATCCTCTCCTGAGGTGCCCTGGCTGTTGGTTGAGGTTAGGGTTGGGGCCCCCTCTCTCTCTGGGGCAGAAGCTTTGGCATCTTTCTTCAGAGAGGATGGATCTGTATCTTTCTTTGGGTCCAGGGCACCAGGATCTTTCTCTGTGACTGGAGGCCTGGGATCTTTTTCTGAAACTGGAGAACCATCACCTGTAATACCTGTAGGGGTCTGTTCTGCAAAGGAGGAGGGTGACACCGTCAGCATCTCCCTCCCCCTTCCTTCCTTCCCTCCCCTGGCAGGTCAGGCAGAGACTAGCTCTGCATCTCTAACCCAGCAACTTGCCAGTGGCTGTCACACCGAGCCTCCGAGGCCACTTGGCTGTCAGGTCTTTGAAGGCTTCTGAAGGAAGCTTCTCGCCCTCTAGATGGGCCCTGCTGGCCTCCCTCCACTCCTTGCACAGTGCTTAGATGTATCTCCAACAGCCACTGATGGAGGCTTCCCATCTTCCCTGTCCCTTTAGTGAGGGCTTCATGCAGACCCTGGACTTAACCCAACCCCACCCACAGATTATCCCCATTCCCAAACCCCCATATGCTGTGCAGACAAACCTTGGGCACAGACCTCCCTGTGATGAACCTGCCCAACCCTGACTTCAAAAACACCCCTTCCCAAGCTCCTCCCTCCATATCTTGCCCCAGCTTGGCACCTGTTGACAGGCTCTGGATTCCCAGCTCAACTGCTCCATTTTCTGTAGCCATGAGGTAGGGAGGCGTGTGCTTCTGCTTGTCTAACTCAAATCTTTCTAGATGCAGAAAGAGGAGTGAGGTATATTGGCCTGTCAGATGCCTCCTCTTGTCCGGCTGTGGGAGAGCAGGCCTAGGCCTGCTGACTGAGAGGAAAGATGTACCTGGACGGAAGAGGGGCAACCTGGTGGCCACTCGTCCCGCAGCAGCTGCTGAGGCACAGTCCTGGGGTGGTTGTAAGGGATTGGGCTGGGTGGGCAGAGGCGGAGGCAGGGGCGTGGGCAATGGAGGCGGGGACGGTGAGGAGGATGTCTGACACCAGGGGCCGTGCAGTGTGGGTTGCCACCACCTGTCACTCTTGGCCCCTGTTCAGAGGACACTGCATTCTTCTCACGGCCTGACAGGGGGTAGAATGGCGTTGGAACCTGCAGGAAGAGAAAAGGAGGGGGCACCTGGGCCCTGGGGAGCAGGCTTTGGCCTAGCCTTCCTGGGCATCCCCTCCTTGGCCACGATTAGAGAGGGGGCTACAAGGAGAGGAGATTTCAAGCAGGGCTGAAGGGCAAAACTATGTCCAGGCCCTGCTGTGTCTCTGCTCACCTCTATGCCATGCCTCCCAGGGCTCCCTAAAGCCTGGGGAAAGCCACCCTGACCTCAGGGCCCAGCTCTGTGTCCCCAGTATCCGGATCTACTTAGACCATCTCTGGGTAAGAAATCATTCCAGGGTTACTTGCTTGGTTGTCCACAAGCCTGAAAACTTTCTCTATGGAAAACTTTTTCTTGAGCCCATGGGGCCATAGAGGCTGAGTAAGTGACCAAGGGAGATTAGTGTCCTCTCTTTTTTCCCAGGAAATATTGGATGGCCTACATGGAAGAAGAGGTTGATAGAAAGTCTCTTCAGGGATGGAGTCTTGAGGGTTCCCCTGAACTTGAGGTGTTCAGGCTGAGATGGGATGGGGAGGCCCTGCCATAAGGCTTTCTCACCACCCAGGGGCTATCAGCCCACACTTTTTTGGGAGGGCTGAGCTGAGTGTATTGGAAGAGGTCATGGGGTGGATGTCTGGGTTCAGGTCCCTACTGAGCTCCAACAACTGCCCTTCCGAGGAAAAGGGAAGGGGGCCGGCAGAAACTGCAGGAAAAGGGTACCTCTCTGCAGTTGGGGGATGTGGAGCTGTAAAAAGAATCAGGAAGCTGCTAAGGAGCTGATATGAAGCCTCCAAAGTAGAAAAAAAAAAACAAATCAGGTACAAAGTAGTGTGGAGAGTCTGTAACTCATGCAAGAGATGTAGGAGAGAAACATAATTTTCTACAACTAAAAACTTCTGCGCAGGAGAGTAAGAAACTGGTAACTGGGGTGGGAGAAAGCATCCAAGCTTACCTTCTTTTAGTTTTTTTTTCAATTGTATGTATTTACTTTTAATTTATGTGTATGAGTGCTTTGACTGCATGTATGTATGTGCTCCACGTGTGTGGCAGTGCCCACAGAGGCCAGAAGAGGGCGTCAGATTCCTTGGAACTGGAGTTACAGGTGGTTGTTAGCCCCCATGTGGGTGCTGGGAACCAAACCCAGGTTCTCTGCAAGAGCAGCCAGTGCTCTCAGTTGCTGAGCCATCTCTCCAGCCATTATTTTTATTTTTCAGACAGGGTCTTGCTATGTCAGGGTAACCTAGAACTCTGGACTCTCCCACCTCAGTCTCTTGAATGCTGGAATCCCAGGCATGTGTCATCATCTCCAACCTCTTTGACTTTTTTTGTTTGAACTGTGAGACTGTCTTAAATTTCAAAATGCATGGCTTTAAAAGCAGGAAGGTTCTTGCCACAGCTAACAGAAACTAGAGCTGGAACTCCCTCCCTATCCCGATGGTGGCTCAGTCTCCTCTCTAGGCTGGTCCAGGCCTGTTCCTCTCCTTCAAGATCCAGCCAACAGCATGCCTCCTCTTCTAGCAAGTTAAAATCACCAATCCTGTGCAGCACTCGCCATGTGCTAGTCTTCATGATAACTTATCCAGTCAGCTCAGCCCGTGAGGGTGAGGGGCTGGGCTGGCATCTGAACCTGGGCTTGCCTAACGGAGGGAGCCCCAGGTCACCAAACTCCTGTTATTAGCTTTCTGAAATCATCTTCTCTTTACTTATCATCTGGTGATAACTGTGGGCCACACTAACCCATTTTCTGGATGAAAATAGAAGGGTCAAATGAGTGAGATACTTGCCTCAACAGGGAAGCTGGGGTGTATATTAGTGGTAGAGTACTTGCCCATCACATGCACAAGGCCCATCACAGCACTGCACTTTCTCCTGAGCCAAGTTCCCTTTCCTCCCTAAAATTTCCCAGCATGTACCTCACTCCCTTCTGCCATGTGGATCCTAAGGCATTCTAAAGACTGAAATGTCTCCTGTCCTCGCCTGTGATGGGGACATGCATGGTGCTTTCTCTGGCTATCTCCCCAGAATGGTTTGGTTTAGTATGAAATGTTAGTACATCCACCCCCAGTGCTCCTTGGTGTCCCAGCCTGCTCTCACCATGACTTGACAGCCTGGTCATGTGTGTCCCTAGCACCATGTTCCTGCCATAATAACTAAGTGCTGAGTGACCAGCAAGGTGGGCTTGGTGTTATGGGTTACTTTACTGTGGTGGCATTTGTGGATAGCCCCTGGTTATCTATACCAGTCATGTGTCAGTCAGGTAGCAAGTGAGGGCCCACTAAGGGCTAGGTCTGGCTAGACCAAAGACTTCACCCAGGTCCCAGGACCCACACAAGGCTCTCTAGGAATCGAGTGTTGTACATGTTAAAGATGCGGAGACTGATGCTCAGAGCAGTGAATGGCTTGTGTCCCAAGAGCCACTTGGCCTGGTAAGTGGCTTCAGACTAGCCAGATTCCAACCCAGAGTCACCTCTCATCTGTGTGGTTCTATTTGCTAATTCTGTAATTGTTATGATTCCCTAATAAAAACAACTAACACTGGCCAATCACTTGAGGAATACTCTGTATGTCTGTCTGTCTCCATGAGTCTGTCTGTGTGTAGGCCAGATGTTGATATCAGTGTCTTCCTCAGTGACTCTCTACCTGTGTCTGTCTGTCTCCATGAGTCTGTCTGTGTGTGTGTAGGCCAGATGTTGATATCAGTGTCTTCCTCAGTGACTCTCTACCTTGTTTTTTTGTTTTGTTTTGTTTTGTTTTGTTTTGTTTTGTTTTATTGTCTTTGAGACAGGATCTCACTGTGTAACCCTGGCTAGCCTGGAACTCACTATGTAGACCAGGCTGGCCTTGAATTCACAGAAGTCCACCTGCCTCTGCCTTGAGTGCCAGGATTAAAGAAAGGTATGTATCACCACACTTGACTCCACCTTATTTTTCTTAACAGGGTCTCTCACTGAACCTAGAGCTCACCAATTTAGCTAAGCTGGCTGGCCAGTAAGGCCCCAGGCTCTACCTGTCTTTGCTTCCTCAGGGCTGGGATTCCAAGCAAGCACTGCCATGCTCAGCTTTTACATGGGAGCCAGGGATAGAACTCGTGTATTCATGCACTTTACAGACTGAGCCATCTCCCTGGCCCCAGGAGCATCCTGCTTGATCCTATAGGGAGCCCTGTAGGGTAGGGGATCAGGAGTCAAAGGTACCACATCGGAGTCTGTCACCACCAGCTGGGAGGGTAACAGGTGCCTCAGGGGTCTCCTCTGCCCCTGCAGGAAAGCACATTAAGTGTTTGTACCCTATGGGCACCCTAGACGGGTGGTCTAAATACCAGTCATTTCAGCCACAGCAGGAAGGCAAAGCCACAGAGTTAGAATTGGAACCTTCAGACCCAAGATCTGGCTCCCAACCACTCTGCCCTGGTGCCTCATGTTCACTCCCAGAGTGACTGGGAATCTGTAGCCAGCCCAAGTGTGTAGAGTACTCGGCGTGGTGCCAAGGGGCCTGGGGCTTGGTAAGGTGGTGACCTCTGCAGGTAGAGGTGATCTTTACATGTTCCCACCTGCTCTGCCACAGTCCTTTGCTGGGATGGGAGGCTGGCCTGGTTATGATCTGCATGGGGTAGTCTGCTCTTGTCAGCTCTCCCAGGGAGTCCCTAGGCTTCTCCACAATCCCTTGGAGACATGGGGGAAGGGCACAGAAAACCTCCTCCACCCAGCCCTGGGCTGCCAAAACCCCTGCCCACCTAATTTATGAAGGGGTTTTCCCGCCCTGTACCAGCTGTGCAAACACCTTCTGCTTCTGCGGGGCCAGGACAGGAAGTGCAGCAATGCCAGGCCCAATTAAACCTGCCAGGGGAATTAAGGTCAGCAGGATGCAATTATGCCTGTTGGATTTAATAAGGCCAGAGGGAAGGTTTCTCCAGCCAGAGTTGATGGCTCCTTAGGCCTCTTGCCCTGTTAGCTGTGCCTTCCAGGAGCTTGGGCTCCCAGGCCTGTGCATCTCTGGGCAAACTCCTAGGGAGTGCAGGGGTTAACTCCACCCAGCACTGCTTCTTGGCTCCTGAGAGGAATCAACCCAGCCAAGAAGCTTTAAAGGACCTGCTCTGAGGAGACATTCCCAGCCTGACCCTTTCCCTGCTCTGCTGTGATGGAAAATCCAAGCCGTTGAGCAACAACCTTTGGACTCTAATAGCTAGTTCCCCTTGCTGCTTCCATCCCGGCTCCTGCTTTAGAAGCCAGTGGGCTATCATTAGCTTATGTTTTCTCTTGCCCTCTCCCAATTTGGGCCTTCTCAGTACCTCCCAGGCCTGTGGGAAAACCCTACCACAGACCAGTAAGCAGAGCTCAATGGGCATTTCACTAGTAAGATGGACGCAGATTTCTGTGGAAGCCCAGTCAACACACTGTTCCATCCCAGAATTATAGGATACTGTGATTAATGTCATTTACTGAATGTTGGACTCTACAGCAAGGGCCAACCTGGTCAGTTTGGAGACACAAAGATACAGCTGAAGGGGGGCTTGGGGAATCACCATATACTGCATTTTAGGTGGAAGAGCCATAAGAATCAGACATGCAATAGAACCTGCTTCTTCTTACTCAGGAAATGTAGAGATGGGAGGATACACAGCCGCAGGTGTACATGTGGATGGCTTCTGCTCTGAACCCACTTGCATTTCCCAATTTTTAAAAATATTTTTATTTATTATTTTTATTTTATGTGTATGCATGCATTGCCTGCCTGTAGGTAAGTGCACCTGTGTCATGCAATGCTTGAGGAGGACAGAAGGGGCTGTCAGATCT